CTCTCTCTCTCTCTCTCTCTTCCTCTTCCTCCCTTGCTTAGTCTATCTCATATCATGCAGTCTTTCATTTTATGCAACTGCGAGTGATATTGATAAAGCATGTCGATGCAATTAGAAGCTATGAAGAATGCGCTCTTCTTTTTGACAAAAGTAGCTGCCCAGTCTAATTTTTGGTCAGGGATTTGGTGATATGCCCGGGTTAAATCCAATTATTTTGAGTTTTATGTATTGAGGAAAATGTCTATAGCTGTGTATGGATTATATGCTGTAGTCAAAATGATGTTTTTTGAATAATGTTTTCTCTTGTGTCTATTTCCCGCTTAAGGTGTTGTTACTATTAGACCAAGAGATCATGTGTTCAAGTCTTGAAAGCAGCCTCTGGTCAAAATAATAAGGGAAAGGTTGCTGCTTATACACCCTAGTGATGGAACCCTTCCCCGGACCCTTGCCTTGCAAGGATGCCAATGTGCACTGGGTTGCCCTGTCTATTTCCCCATTTTTTTCACTTTTATAATCCTACTCCCTTCTTTCTTTCACCCTGTTTCGCATACCCTCACATTTAGCACAAATTGGCTCCAGTGACCACTTAACTTTAGTAGTGGTTTCCCTACAATTGACTTTCTTTTAGACTATGTTCAATTTGTTCTTTTTCTTGAGTTTTCAGCTAACAATCTGTGGCTGTTTTTTGCTAGAGTTGTCGTGTTTTCTAATTTATCACATGTAATTTTATTTTAAGAAATTTTAAAATTCTAAACATAGCCATATTGGTTCATTACCTCTAACCCCACCCCCAGGATCTATACCTAAAACCACGCATGATGCAACATATCTGAGAAGAATTATTTGGTTGCCAATTCTGAATATTTCATCTGTTACTTTATATTATGCGTCTTTAATTACAAATTCTGCGTAAGTAAAACTTTTGGCCAGAAACGTTCACAAAATTCCCAATGCGTAATGCCTTAATTGATCTGTTACTTCTAGTTTTTTTACTAGCATTGATGGTTTCATCATTGTGATTGTTGCAGATATGCTGGGGCCATATTTGCAGATGCTTGCTTGAAAGGATTGAATGGAGTTCCTGATGTTGTTGAATGTTCCTTTGTGCAGTCAAGCATTACTGAGCTTCCTTTCTTTGCATCCAAGGTATATTTTGAACTCTATTAACTACTATATTCAAAGAACAAGTGTCTTTTACTGATGCATTTTAAAATTTGGTAATCGTGAATAAAATTTGGTAAAATTTATTTGTATATTTAACTAAAAAATCATTTGTAATTGTCTGTAAGTCTATTTTAAAGGGAGTGATTGTATTTCAATGTTTGTAATAATAAAATCATTTAATTCGAATGAAGTATTTCAAACAGCACAGTTTTTCCCTGGGGCAGATGGAGCGATTTCAATTTAAAATCTGTGCTTGGCTGTGTTGATAAATTGAACTATCCTGTCTTTGATCATGGGTTTGATTCTAATGAGATAAATGAATCATTTCCAGGTGAGACTTGGGAAAAATGGTGTGGAAGAAGTCTTAGGGTTGGGTTCCCTCTCAGACTTCGAGAAGGAAGGACTGGAGAAACTGAAGCCTGAGCTTAAGTCCTCTATTGAAAAGGGAATCAAGTTTGCCAGTGAGAATTAAGAAACTCACCCCCCCTTTTGCATTGAATGTGAGTTGGAATTTTGAATAATTTTGGGCAATTGTTGTCAAAGTCTTATTTTTGTTTGAGTCTCTCCTAGTGGCTTTAGATTTAGCCATTTCAAATTCATGCAGACAAAGGATAAGATGAAGTTCTGCTTCAAATAATATTGAATTAACTGATGAGAGGATATGTTAATCCTTTTCCTACTGCCATTGAGTCTTAGACAATTCTTGTTGTATTAGATGTAACAATGGTTATTAAGCTTCTCAATCTTATTCTCCAAATTGTCATTTTTTCCTTGAACCCCCAACTAGTTCCACACAATCTTAGAGTAAAATTTTGTTTTAATAATTAGATTGTTCTTGCATAGATATTAAACAGTTTTATGAATGGATGGAGTACCTCCTCCATACAATTTTATTTTTCTTTATTTCACACACGATAATATCCATACTCAAAAAATCATCAAACCAACCAGCCCAATTAATGTGAACCGGTAGATCAGTGTATATGATCTCTATGGTGCAGCTATAGTTGTGATTGCATTGTTTTCACTCCATTAGTCTAAGTGCAACCCAACAGGTCAATAAATCTAATCTAACACCAGTTTATACGTATTCAGTCAATTCAATTTTCCCTGCAACTCAGCAGTTTCAATACATTCACTCAAGACATTCGTTTTTAGTTAAATCCTTGCTTTTATTATTATACATAATTTTTTCGCAAATTCTAATTTTACAAATAATTATGATTTAAAATATCAAACATTCCAATGTAAAAATAAATAAATTTGGAGTGAAAATTTTAACCATGAAATCTATTTTTTAAAAAGGGAAAATCAATATTGACCCTATGAGGTTATGCCATAATTATTAATGTAACCTTGCATTTTTAAAAATCAATTACTTAACTCCTGAGTTTTTATTATTCTCACTGTTTGCCCTCTCACGTTAATATTTGTTAAATTAGATTCAATATAACTCTTAAATTTAATGAAAGCTGTATAAAATTAAATTTTAAAGTAAAATACAATTTAATATCATAATTATAAGTCATTGTTGTTGATAGTTATATTTTTACTTTATCTACTCGATCATGGAATAAATATTAATGAATTTAGTTAAGAGAGAAGACTAACGAGTAAGATATAAATATCATGAATTTTTTTCTTTTTTAATTTAAAAAAATAAATATCATTTAATCTTATTAAACTAATAAACTTTTTGCGAAGAAAAAATCATAAAAAATTAATATTAGAATTAATTAAAAAATAAAAAACTATGATATATATATTTTATGTCTTAGATAGATTGATAGCTTCCAAATATTAAGATCCTATATCAAACATTTTGTCTTTTAGGTTCGTTATTAATACTAGACCAATCTTTTAGGACATGGATTGATAAAATTCTTTTTTTCTTGAAATTTATTCTTTGCTACACACGAAAGAAATGTCATTGAGATTAATTCAGTCGAATGAATTACAAACAAGACAACCAAGACTTATATTCATATTGATGAAGAGGTGTCTAGAATTTTGATCACAATATTTCAAACAACTTTGATATATTTCATGAATATTGCCCAACCCGTGAGTCTTCTACCTTAACTACTTTCATTAATATTATTCCACGATCGAGTAGCTAAGAACAAAAATAAAGATCAAGAACAGTGATTTATAATTATTATAATAAATTGTATTTTACTTTAAACATAATTTGATAGACAATTTTCATTGACTTTAAGAGTTAAATTAAATTTAATTTAACAAATATTAACATGAGGGGTCATATAGTGAGAATGATCAAAGCTGAGGGGGTAACTAATTGATTTTTAAAAATGCAAGGTTGCATTAATAATTATAACATAACCTTATGGGGTTAATATTAATTTTTCCTTTTAAAAATAATAATTGAGAGATGTAAAAAATATTTTAACAATGAAATCTTAATTTTAACATTTGAGTTGATTTGAGAAAAATGTTAGATCTACAATCTCCACCGGATGAAACTTCTCATTTTTTTTACTTTTACATATCCAATATTGGTGTCATATGAAAAATCATAAAAAGATATGAATTTTGATATATTTTTTATACATATAAAAAAGTTATGTTAGTTTAAAATAAATTGAGATTTTTGTTTTAATGGGGTCTACCCTGCTGCCAAATCCTCTCTCTCTTGGAGAACAAGGGTCTTACCTCCCACTCCCTTATGTTTCCCCAACCCACTCTAGGACCCTCTAATAAATTGATCCAAATAAAGGTGGAATCTCCCACCCCAGGAGCCCTCCACCCGACCCGACAAGATGGTGGGGAGGTTAGTCACGGTGATTCAGTCAGCAGAATGGCAGTAGGCTCATACACCCGTGCGTATCAGAGACCCAACCTTATTTCAGGTTCTGTGACCTCCACCCGGTCACTGCGGGGATTCGAACCTTGGTCCATTGTTCTAAATCTCCCACCACTCGACCAATTGAGCTACCCGTGCGGGTAGGACCCTCTAATACAAAAAATGGCTTGGGTTGCACCATATTTTGGGTGAAAACCTTACATTTGGGAATTCACCCCTCCTCATTGCTGATAGCCTTAGGTTTCCCCAACACACTCTAGGACCCTCTAATACAAAAAATGGCTTGGGTTGCACCATATTTTGGGTGAAAATCTTACATTTGGGAATTCACCCCTCCCCACTGCGGATAGGGTGATCCAAAAATGTCCCATCTCCCAAATGGCCAACCCCACACACTCCAAAACTTCAAACTAATTTGTAAGTGCAAGAGAATTGACGAGAGTTGTTGAATTTTTTGGTGTAAAAAGAAAGCTTTGGTGTACACCTTTTGCACATTTGTTCCGCGAAGACAACTTTCGTACTTTTTAGATGAATACACCCCTCCAAAATAGGCATGGACCCGGGCCGAGCCTGACCGGGCTTTTTTGGGGATCTTTGAGGTCCGGAACCGGCCCGGGTAGCTACCGGGTTCGGGCCGGGCCGGGTCGGCCAGGTTACCTAGTTTTTTTTATTTTCTAATTACTTCCTACCCCACACCTCAAACCCGTTCAAAACACCCATCCCAACTCATTTACATTTCTCAAATTTTGAAAAAAATAAATGACCCGAACCGGGCCGGTTCATTGTTTTTGAGACTTGGAGCCCGTCCCGAAACAATACTGGGCCGGGTGACCCGAACCGGATTATAACCCCGGTACCAGGCCGGGCCGAAACAGTACCGGTTACGGGCCGATTGACCCGGCCCTAGTCCATCCCTACTCCAAAATAGGGGTTGTACAAAAAACGTATGCAAGCAATTTTTTCCCTAGAAAAACAGAGTGGACTAATGCATATTGCATTATTTGCATAGCAGATTGCAGAATTTTGAACCAATCCAGTAGTTATTGCTATGATGAAAAGAGAAAAGTGATTACTATTGTAATTTCTGTAAGCGTTACGGAGTATCTTGAGTACTATTAATTACACCTTTCTTTGAAGTCCGAACTCCGAATTTGGGAAAGAGACGCTGAGTCGCTGAGCGGCCATCAAGTGAAGGATACTATGATGAAAAGAGAAAAGTGATGGACTGAAAAAGAACTTGAAACAACTTCATTGATGTACTTTGCTAACTCATTTATGTCAACTTGTGAAGTGTTTGTTTTTTATTGCAAGATTATGCTAACCCATGTTTAATTAACCACGTGATAAATTATATTGTAGTATAATTTTCACGTGACTCTAAAGTTGTGGTTATATGATAAATAATCAAAGTTGACATTACGAATTTTAAGTTGTTAAACTCAAATAGATTTATCAGCGTAAAAAATATATTAATTTCAACAATTTAAACTAACTCGGGTGAGGCAACTGCGGTCTTCTCCCTCTTGCTAGTAGGATTTTGACATCTTCTTGCGGCTCCTGCGCGTCTTCTCGGTCTTCTCCCTCTAGGGTCAGGGAAAGTCTCGTCCGAAGCCAACAACAACAAGGTAATCTCGCCACGTTTTGGAAGAGAAGCTAAGGAAACGAAAGGCATGGAAGATATGGTAAGAAGTGTGGCAACATGGGCATTGGCGGAGAAGAGCTAGTCTTCCACCAGCAGACCGATGGTGAGGGTGAGAACTCGACCGCAGAGCTACCTTCCCAGTTGTGGGCACACTTCTCACAGACAGAATATTGAGATTTTCGGTGTTCACGGATCTCGTGGCTTCATCGTGGCGTCCCGGAAAAGGGATCACAATCAAAGAGATCGCCGAAAAAAATGTACCTATTCACTTTTCACCATATTGTCAATATGGAACGTGTTCTTGGAAGTGGACCCTAGCTGTTTGAGCAAAACTTGCTAATACTTAGAGCACTCAAGTCGGGGGATATTCCTCCTCGGGTCACGCCCAACGAGGCAGAATTTTGGGTTCAGGTGCATAATGTACCTTATGATTTTATGAATTTAGGGGCGGCTAGAAGAATCGACAATTTTGTAAGTTTTGTCGAAAGTCGGTTGGACAGGAAACGAGATTCCTATATGAGAATCAGGGTTTGTATGGAGGTGGGGAACTCATTCAAGGTAGGCACTAGTGCACCACTCTTAGGAAAGGACATGAACAAGCCATTGGGTGGATTTTAAATATGAAAAACTCCATAACTTTTGCGTTGCTTGTGGTGTCATTGCTCATGCTGACAGCCGGACAGGTACTGCCCTTTGGTTTATGAATGTGAGAATAATGCTCTAGACAAACCCTATGGGGTGGGCCTCATAGGCGGAGGGGGTGGGCTGGGGTGGGGGGTGGGGGGTGGGGGAGCTCGTCCTTTGGGGATTAAATGGCTGATTCCAGAAGGGTCATCAGCTCAGAGGAGCTTGCCTCAACAGGATTTTGGACAAGGCAGAGAAACTGGAAGAGTTGGACGGGTGGGGAGAGGAAGACAGATTTGGATCCTCGCTGTGGCAGATTCCAACAAGGCTAGATATGAGGAGGCAGCAACGGCAGGTACGAAGAAGGCTCCAGGAGAGCAGAAATGCAAGAGGGTGTGGGAGGAGAAGGAGCACGAAGATCTTGGTGGGGATAACATGGCTCTGGACGATACAAAAAACGGGGAAGGGGTGGATCTTGGTCAATGAAAGGCAGGGGGTGGCTCTCGTGTTACTAAGGATGCAACTGAAGTCTCATTACTTTGCTTTTTTTATTTACTTTGGTCAGATTGTTTTTGTTGTTGCTTTTTATTTTTCATTCTGTCAGACTCTTGCATTAGAATTGGGTGATGATGAGTCTATTTTAACCGCGTTAGGCCCATTACATGATCAACGAGTCATATTGCTTTGTAATGTGATTGACTCGAAGTCTGATTCGAGGGCCGGCGATCGAAAGAGACCCTTTTATCTTATTGTTCTCTCTCTGAATGTTGTGAAATCAAATTAAACCGTCTTTTTCCAAAAAAAAGTCATAAATATATTAAGCATCTTTCGATTTGATAACATTATAGCCTGAACTGCATACACAAACGCTACTAACGACTTTGTGGGTAAAGTTCCAAGCCTTGATTATTTCACTGATGTTCAAGGGATATTGAATGACGATGTAATCAGTTCTCCATGGTTGAATTGCATATTTTTTCAGAAACATTGAAAATTTTAGGGGTGGGCATAAAACCCGAACCGAACCGGTACCGAACCGTTCCGTAATGGTACCGAACCGAATATCGGGTATTTAAATGGTTCTATAGATTTTTATCCCGTACTGAAACCGTACGTTTGAAACGGATACGGGACCGGTCCTAGATTTTGAGAACAGAAAAATACCGGACCGAACCGTTCGAAAATAATGCATTTGAATTTTTTATATTTTTCTATACCAATAGATCCCTTTTTATAGACTAACAATTTTATAGCCCAAGTATGTATATATTCAATTATTCATGTGTCCCTAAGATATCTAAATGTGTGTTTATATATATATTGTTATTTTTCTTTTTTAGATAATTTATGTTATATTTTGGTATGTATTGAAAGAATATTAAAATTTTAGAAATCATTAATGACTATTCATTTCTAGTAATGTAGTGTACATGACTTTTTGTTGTATCATGTTTGTGCAATTTTTACAACTTAATTAATATAGTTTAAAGGAAAAAGGGGCAAATAAGCCCACGTACTAACCCAAAAAGGTCAAATAAGCCCTTATATAGGAGGCAATGTCCGGCCGTCGTCATTTGGGGCGGTTCTTGGTGGAAATTTTTTATGAAATTCTTTTAGCATATTATTCATTAAGTCTAGTTTACCCATACCCAATTTCAGCTAAAACTTCAATCGGGAAGACATTCAAATTAAATCTTGAAGATAACTGCGCAGTTAAAAGCGCAATTATCTTCAAGATTTTATTTGAATGCCTTCCCAATTGAATTGTTAGCTGAAATTTGGTATGAGTAAACTAGACTTAATGAATAAGATTCTTAAAAACATTCATCAAAAATCTCCACCGGAAACTACCCCAAATGGAGATGGTCGGATAGAGCCTCCTATATAAGGACTTATTTGACCTTTTTTTGTTAGTACGTGGGCTTATTTGCCCCTTTTTCCTAGTTTAAATATTAGCTTTCAAGGTTCAACCATAAATTAAGTGAGAACTACGGAGTAATATTTAACCTAGAACGAAGAAGAAGAACATTGAAGATTTCTATCATATTCAACAATTTGATAATATTCGTTTTTATATTTTCACATGAACTTATAAATTAAAGATGATATTTATCCCGTGTGTCATCGTTTTGCTATACTTTTTCTTAGGTGTGTTGCACTATTTGTGTATTTGTGAATTTTAGTACTACGTATGCAATTTCTTGTATTTATATCAACATTTCACGTGAGTTATTTGGTGTGATGATATCTACTAATTGCAAGATTTGTTCAAATTTTTTAGCATGAGTTTGACATTGTATCGTACCATCTTGTACCGTTCTGAAACAACATGGTACCTAACGGTTATATCATTGGAACCGGACCGTACCGTACCGTTAAAAACCTCACAGATACATTGTGGGTTTTACCAATTTACCGGACCGTTCCGAACCGCGCCCACCCCTAGAAAATTTAAGCGTTTGAATACTTAAAAGTGGCCTTTGTCTGGTTAGTTGAGCCCATTTTTTTTTCCAAAAACTTTTTCACTAACGTGTCAAATGCCAGATATAGGGCCCATTTGGTAACTCTGCTTTTCAGTTTATCGACATATCAACTTTTTCATCAAACACGTAATTTTTTATTTCGCGCACTGAATTATGTAATAATAAGAAAAAGTAAGGTAGAAGTTACTTTTCTGACTGTATTGGCTGAAGTTACTGTAGAGGATCATTTGAGCTACTTTATAATGTTTTTTCTTTATTTTATTAATAAAATATATTTTAAATTTAATTTTTCACAAATCAACACAATCACCAATGCACTCACTTCAGTCAGAACTTCATAAATTTCAACAGTATCAGCCGATTCAGCCGATTTCAGTGTTACCAAACGGGCTCATATTTATAGTATAAGATATGCTTTTAAAAATGAGACAATTTATGTTTAATAATTGTAACCTAATAAACGAAGTTAAAGTTGTGAGAAAAAGTGGGAAAGGACTTTATACAATTATCAAACAAAATGCTACTTGCACACGCCGATTTACACGCTCGTTTACACGCCAAATATATTTTGTCTGTGCACGAACTATTGATTTTAATTTTAGTAAAGGGGACTGTTTGTGACCCTCGAAAAAAGTGAATTATTTGTGCACAGACAACTCGAGCGCACAAATAATTATCTGTGCACTAAAATGAAAATTGTCTGTGCACAGAAAAAATGCACTTAACGTGTAAACGGGCGTGTAAGCCGGCGTGTACAAGTAACATCATTATTATCAAACAAGACAAATGGACTTTTCAAGCTCACCCTAATCAAATTCGAATTCAAGAGGCTTCATTTATAACATGAGAAGGAATCCTTCACAACTTGTGGCATTTTGTACCCAAGCAAATTTTGCCTTTTCACACAGTATAACTGTATATCTTTTTCTTTATTGCTTCTCTAAATGGAAACAAGCATCATCTAACTCTCTGAGGTTTCCCTTTCAACCTTCCTTTTCATGCCCTGATGCCCTGCTGGATTTCTGTGCATGGCATCTATTCACCCATTCTTTCTACCCTCCTTTTTACTTTCCATCTTTTGTATGAACTATTTTCTTTGTAGAGCATATCAATATAACGTCTTTATTATTGAACAAAATGCATCTTGATTAAGTCCCATTTTACATGTCTTAGACTCTTAGTTATAATTTGGTTAAACCGTATCTTTTTAAAACAAATCTTAAGTGATTGTTTAAAAGTAAGCTGTAATATCAATATTTGCTTTGTAAAACTTCTGATTAAGTTTTTTACTATGTATATAGATTTTACCAAGGCATATGAAGGATTTAATTTTGAACTCCGTAAGTTCTAATAGTTTATATTAATTAGGAATATTTATGTATTTTCGTAACTGATATTTTATTATAAATATATCTGTCAGGGCTCCTATCACCAGTGGAGGACCTAGGGAGGGGCCTAGGGGGGCAAGTGTCTCTGCTTTCGGCCAGTAATTTCACTACTAGTATTTAGAGAAAAATCAGTGCACCCGCTTCTGGCCAAGAATTTCACTACTAGTGTGCCCCTACTCTGACAAATCTCTGGATCCACCACTGCCTATCGGAGCACATTTTTCTCATTATTCTTACATGGTATCAGTGAGAGCCTAACCTAATTTTTTTCTCTCCCATTATTCTTACAAGTTCAACTATATATTGATTAACACGGACTATTTTTTCATATCCCTTGGGTGAGCAAGACCGTATCTAGAGAAAAAAGAGACCCGGAAAAAAAATCGTTAGTGAGACCTACATTTTGAGAAAATGTAAAAAAAGATTATTATTGATCTTCATAACTTTCTTGTTTAAATATCCATGTCATTACTTATGTATTTATTACTTTTTAATCACTTCCTCACTTATTTTCAATTAAAAATTATCGTTCCAGTGAACTTGATGACTATTATTACTTCTCAGTAATTAATTGTTTATTATTTATGAAAATTGATCAATGCCTCCTCCATAGTTGATACACACATTTCATCTTTCTATAATCATCTTCTATAACACATGACCACAATTTAAATATAAACTGACGGTGCCAGTAAAGAGTACATTTCTTTTTCTATGTTATGAAAATATAAATCCACACAGATTGAATTTGTGTCATTTTAAATATTTGTAATCGCAACAAAACATATTACTCTCAAACAGATTAGAGTTAAATTCGTACAAATTTTTATTCTTGAAAGTAATACAAACATTTTAAATAAATCGTCCAAACATGTTACCTAAACCTCTGAAAGTCTTAAACAGATATATAATTAAATAGAAGCTTGAAGGGTTGATATAAATCCAGAGCTTGTGATCTTGTAAATCTAGCGTCAACAAAGCCTGATACATGGCCGTTGTTGGTTTTGGCGGGTTTTTATGTGACCGTTTCGGTTTATATTGATCCGGTTTTGACAAAATGTCAAAAATGAGAGTCGAACCGAGTACTTCATTTGGCTTCGGTTCAGTTATATTTAATTGGTTAGAAATTGCTCTAAACAGGAGCATAAACGTTTTGAAATTCCAAAATAGGAGTATCATGTTTTTTATTATCTGAATAGGAGTAATCTGCCAACTTTGGGAAAAAATGTCATGCTTTAAAGCCTAGTAATGCCAAATTAAACTTGGCTGAAATTTACACATATTCAAGGAATAAAAAACCTTATACTCTTATTTTCGAATTTCAAAACTTTTTTACTCCTATTTAGAGAATTCTCTCGTGTAAACCTCAAACATTGAATTAAATCACCATGACTTGGTCAAATTTCATTTTTGTTTGTGTCAACGACCTTTTTATCGGTTTTCTTGTTCAGCCCTATATAACATCATAGCTTAAGCCTAAAACTACAATGATTATGATGGAAGGAGGTGAACTTGGCTTGTGAGAGTGATCAAAGTGAGGCTAAATTTGGAGACTCTTCAAACAATAATCAACGTTTTTTATCATTATCTCAGGAGAAGTGCTAGAAACCTGAAAAGAAACGAAAATTAGAGGGTGTTTGGAACTAATTCTGCTTCTGCTTCTTTTTTTAATGCAGAAGCAGAATCAGAATCAGTTTTCAGAAGCTGCTACCTCTCAGCTTCTAAAAAACTGATTCTAGGAGTAAATTAGAGCATCAGAATCACTTCTGCATTTTCACCCAAACACTCCAACTTCTCAGGAGCAGAAGGAGTTATAAGAATTAGATCCAAACACCCCTTAATTAGTTAAGGACAATTTCTTGAATATAACGATATATAGATTGACATTAAGAATCTAACAGATTATGCCAACGATTTTTACTTATTAAGAAGGGTTTGGAGTACGTTCTCAGTGATTTAGGATTAGTCCGGCAATTTTGAATTACCGGTGTTCATAAAAATACTTCATATGTCATGTTTTAGTTAGACATATGATGTTAAACTTTGTCTAATAAAGTGATACGGGAATAATATATTTAAGGGAGCGGATCAAGAAGTGCCCTTAGACCGGGAAGCTGCGAAGTCTAACTTATGAGTTAAAAATACAAACTTTTAATCAATAAATCATACTCCGGTAACTTATAGACCCCCTCGAAAATAATTACGAAAATGCCACCGCGTCCAAATAACTCCAGAAACCTCGAATTTTTTTGACACGGTGGCATTTCCGTAATTAAGATGGAGAACTTTATAAGTTATGATTTATTGGTTATAAGTTACTATATGCAGTCTATAAGTTTGTTGTGTTGTAAGATTAGATGTAAATCCAAGGGCTGAGATTACTTCTCACTTCTCATTTTAAGGAGGACTTCTCACCTAATCTTTTCTCTATTTATAATACATAAGTATAAATTAAAAAAGACAAACTTTAGATTATCAAAAAGGAAGGAACAAGATACAATCATCGACTAGAAAAGTAAAAAATGAACATTAGAATGAAAGGGTTAGTAACTAGTTGAGCTTAAAGATGGCAATTTCGGCCGACCCGTTGGATACCCTCACCGAACCGATTTGGTCAAACTGGGGAAAACGGTTTGACTGGGGAACGGGTACGGGGCGAGGAATACCCGATTCTTTTAAATGGATAATGGTGCGGTTAAGGTTCTATACTAATCCGCCCCGAAATCGCCCCGTTCACTAATGGTGCGGGTATCCGCATCGTTACCCAATCTGTAACATTATTAATAAATTATAACTTTTATATATAAGAATAATAAGTATATATGCTAAATTGTGTACACTAAATCGTGTATATCATATAAGTATATAAAGAATAATACACCCGAGGCACACTTCAAAAACTTTAACATCCCTAACTCAGTGTATTACGGATTTATGCCTCAGGGCTCTGCTTCTTAACAGTGAGAACAACTCTATTCGATCCTTCTAGATGGACCGATGCTAGGCTTGCAGTTCGGCTCTACCACCGGTAGCTTCTAATCTTTCTCATTTCAATGATTCGACTCAGTTCCTTATTTCTTCTTTTTACTACTCTTTTATTATGTTACAAAAAAAGGATGACACCCCATCCCTGAGGGCCCCCCAACCCCGACCGGACAGTACGTTGGGAGGATGTAAGTTGGACTATAATCCCAATATGACAGATAGAGAGTGAGGCTCTGTCCCCGGTACTTGCAGAGCCCCTATGCATTTTTTAGCATAGTAACCCCTCATCGCAGTTGCCGAGATTCGAACCCGGGACCTAACCCTTGTGACACTCCCTTCCTACTCTTTTATTATGTTACAAGAGATGTTAGGTGCTTGTCATGCTTTATGGTGCTTTTTATATACTCCGTATAATTTACTACGTAGGATGTTTACATTAACAAGTATGATTAAAAATTGGTTATTTGGTATCATTTGGACAAATGGTTACCCGTGAATAAACCGATTCCCCGTTGAGGCGAGTACGATTCAAATAAAAATTACCTGAACGGATAATGAGACAATTTTATGGCAAACATTTATCCGACGGGGCGGTTTCGGTTTTATGTGTACCCGACCCGGATAGGCACCGTTGGCATCCCTAGTTGAGCTTGATGGCTAATAAAGTTGATAAACAGCAAAGAGGCTTACCAAACACAGACCTATATGTGCAGGAAAAGCAGAAGAAAAAGATTATTAACGGTAATGGCAGGTGCAGCAGGAAAGGGAGAGCAGTGGTAGTGTCTCGTAGTGATGAGGTTACAGAGGGCTTTAATCCCACCAAACACTGCAACCCTTCACTCCCCCCTGCCATCTTCGCCTCTCTTCCCTCTTACACGTACCCATCCATCGCTCTCCTCTCTCTTTCTATCGCAAAAGGTCACACCTTTTTCATACATCACTCCGTATCACTCTCTAGCTCTAGAAATGAGCCAAATTCCCCACATGGGTTCTTGAATCTTGACATCATTATTCCAATAGCATCTTTCACATCTCTCTCCAATTGTTGGTCTCCTTCTGTGTATCTCTCCAGTTCAGGGCTATATCTAGCACAGATAGATAGAGGGATAATCATCAGATCATTAGCTGTTTGTGTATAGGGATGTTTCAAGAATAATGGGTCAGTCTCAGTATGCAGAAAAATAATCTCATTTTTCTGGGTTTTTAAATTTGTGATGGAATTCGGGATGTTGGATGGCCAATTTTAGATTTCAGTGGTTCAAGAAGAAGAGAGTGGGAAACGATTCTGAGCAAAAGTTGCAGTCTTTGTTAAAAACTGGAACGAGAAGAGAGTCTGAGTCTGGATCCTTATCAGCAGCAGCAGCGCCACCTCCATTTTTGGAACCAGCAAATTCAAGAACAAGAGGAGGAGGAGGAAGAAGACCCCCCGCCGCCGCCGCCTCCGGCATTCCACCAGAAAGTAAGGAGTCCCCCAGTGTCGAAGAAACGGTCGTATTTTCCCTGTACGGTGGAACATGCAAGATTGGTGGGAAGAATGGGGGAGAATCGTCAGCAGAGTTCGTCAAGGTTGGGAATAAGGAGCGTCGGCGGCGAGATTGTGGAAGTCCAAGGCGGCCACATTGTGAGGTCCACCGGCCGGAAAGACCGCCACAGCAAGGTCTGCACGGCAAAAGGCCCCAGGGACCGCCGAGTCCGGCTAGCCGCCCACACAGCGATTCAGTTCTACGACGTGCAGGATCGGCTTGGGTACGACCGGCCCAGCAAGGCCGTGGACTGGCTCATCAAGAAGGCCAAACCCGCCATTGATGAGCTCGCTGAACTTCCCGCCTGGAAACCCAATTTCCACCACAACCACCGGAGTTTCGAGTCCGGAGATGCCGCCAATTTGTTGGACGACGAAGATGCAAACATCGGTGCTGGGCCGTCTAGTAATAAGAGAACTGCCATGATGATGATGATGATGCCGCCGGCGACGGAGAAAGATAACCACTTTTTGCCGCCTTCTTTAGATTCTGATGCCATTGCTGATACAATCAAGTCCTTCTTCCCCATGGTGGCAGCTTCCGAGCCCCACAACTCCTCTGCCTCTATGCAGTTCCAGAGTTTCCCACATCCGCCGCAACCGGCGCCACATCAGTCATCGGATTTGAGGCTCTCTTTACAGTCAATTCAACAAGACCCGACCACTATCCTGCTCCACCACCAAAACCATCAATCACAGCACCACCACCAGACCCCGCCGCCGGCTAGAGCACTTTTCGCCGGATTCGATTCTTCAGACGGCTGGTCCGACCAGCAGCAGCAGCAAAGGTTTCCGGTTTGGAACTCCGCCGGAGAAGCAGCACCCTGCCCCACAGGAGGAGGGTTCTTGTTCAATTCGCCACCGCCTCAGTTTCAGCAGCTGCTGCTCGGGGGGCAGAGTCACTATTTCTCTTCTACTTCTTCTTCTCAGAGGGGACCCCTTCAGTCCAGTTACTCACCTTCGGTTCGTGCTTGGATGGACCCGTCATCTGCCGGCTTTGACCCGAACCAGCACTACCACCACCAATCACCATTGATGCCCATCTATCACCACCCATCATCGTCACTCTCCGGTTTAGGATTCTCTGCAGGAGATGGAGAGTTCTCTGGGTTTCGCATTCCAGCACGAATCCAAGGTGAAGAAGAGGAGGAGGAGCATGATGGCATTTCCGACCGCCCATCCTCTGCTTCCTCCGACTCCCGCCGTTGATGTAGCTCTCTTACCTTCTTCTTCTCTTTCCATCTATCCAAGGTTCGTTTTTTTCATCATTCCCTATTTTATAAACTATGTCTACTATTACCGGAAAACATGCTTCACTATTACATTGAATGAATTCAGTTGCAGGGCAGTGAGTGCTTCTTGAAGTTAATATTGTTAAGGTGATAAGATTAGTTTCTGCGAGAAATCGTTGGGGCATTGATGGAAGATGAATTTCTGCTTAGAGCTACATCAATGGCGGTACCTACCGGTGGTAGATTAATTCTGAGCATAGTTTCAGGTTTTTCTATCCCGGGTTTATTTTATTTCTTGAGTTATAATAAAAAAATATCAACTTTTATGTTTCATCAATTCATGTATTAGTCGAATGAGCTTGTATCCCGAGTTCAAGTTTATGTTGTTGTGTGTATGTTGCCTTTCGGATCGGACTTGTCAGGCAAAACTCAGTCCTCAGTGAATTTTAGTGTCTTCTAATTAAGCTATGGTTAGTGCATTTTGTTAATACTTTCCATATTTTGATTTATCTAAAAAATATGGCAACCTGAGTGTGATAGAAGCCCTTCAACATGTTCTTGAGCATCTTATTATGTATGTGGTGATGTTGATGTTGTTTCTTTCTCTTCAAAGTTGAAGCAAGCATACATAGCAGAAAATCAGGTGTTTTGCTCAGTTCAGCAAAAAATGGTCAATTTTTTTCAAGTAGATGAAAGAGAGCTATCTTCATTTATATTTTGTTATGGATTCTTTGTTTTTCATATAATGCCACTGATTAGTATGTTATCAACTTCCTTAAACTTGCAAAAAGAATCGGAAGTGTCTCACCTTATGTATCCCTATCCTGTTAGGCTTTCTGGGAGCATCAAAGTTGGGCCGTTTTCTGTGAATAGTTTGGAGGAATAAATATAATTAACAGTGTCTAGAGTAAGTTAGCCTGATAACTAATTAGTCTAAATGTACAGTTAGGCCTACTCTAACGTGCACTATTTCGTTTAATAACCAAATCAACCAAACTAAGCCTTATTCCCATTGGAATTTCCCAACAATCTGATCTATACAACATCATCAAGCAAACAACCTCTGATCTTAAGTGGTATTTTCCGGACATTCGTTGTTCCATTCACATTTCCTCTTATTATTTTCCATCATTTGCAATGGAGCCAAAGATTCATTATTTTTTGGCTTGAGATTATGATGGAATAAAGCAAAATGACTCACTAAACTGTTTGCGCTTCTTTGTTATGAAGCAGCAGTCAGTCCATGCAATTTTGGATGGTATTTTCACTATGGGTCATCCGGAAACAGTCTCTATGTGCTTTAGTACATGGGTAAGACTGCGTACATCCGACCCCCTCTTACCCCACCGTAGGTGGGAGCCTTTGCGGCACTGGGGTAAATGAAAATGAAAATGGTATTGGCTAAACATAAAGTGATAAGCTAACATGTAAGACATTGGGCTACTACTCATATTGTCCCATGTAATTTTTGGAATAGATTTAATTTTAAAAATATTTTAAGATCCTCTTATTCATACCAACTTATCCGGGTCTTTATAGCTGAGTTACTGCATAGTTGGATATTGAATGCATAAAAACATACCATTTGAAGATTTTGTATTAGAAAGTTTATCCTCGATTGACTGAATTTGGAACGACTGTTGTAGTATAGTATACTATGATAAAATTCATATTTTCAATACATATTGTAAACTGTGTAGGCTAGTTTTCGTAACGAATCATCCTCTAATTGAGTTTCATTAGATGAAGGCTAGTAAACTAGCCTTCATCTAAGCTCTAATTGAGTGCCCTTAGATGAAGGCTAGTTTAGAACACTTATAAGGCAGACTTAGTTGCCATTGAACGTAAGTGTTAAAGTATTATACGGAACAAGTTAAGAGATAAATAATCGGTTAATGGATTGAATTAGCTAATTAATAGATCTGATTCAAATTTTTAGTATAGCGTTGTTCAAGTGCCTTACGATCTGGTTGATCGATCCCAATTCTAATCTCTTGGGCTATTTGTTTTATATCACTGATCTCTATGGACTGTTTTTTAAAACCTTTGCTTTTTGTTTGAAGAAATATGCCAATCTAATGAATGCAAAGTGTGAGGATAGAATGGGGGCTGAGAATGTAGGAACCAATCATGTTACTGCAAAAGGCAAAGAATGAAAAGCTCAATGAAAATATAACTGATAGACAGCTAGATGTATGGTAGTACTTATTGGCAATGAAGCCATGGTCCCCTACACTACAAATCTTAGTACCTTTTAAAAAGAAGTTCTCAACCTATCTGTTTCTGTTGCTTCTATTTTCCCTTTGCTTAGGAAAATTAAATATGCAACACAGTACTTGTACAGAGATGGTGACTTTTGCTTAATTGTGGTTGGCACTTTATGGTTGATTTGTACATATCATAGGGAAGGATAAACTTTGTACAGATCTGTAGATTATTTTACTGCTAAATGGCTTAGGGGTGTGTTAGGTTTAGTACATTAGAAGTGGCATATACTGAACACCATGTCTGCTCTAATGCTTGAAAAAAAAAATGGTTGTTGGTACTAAAGAACAAGATACATGTGGTAGGATTGAGTAGGAAGAAGTATGTCTTCTTTTAGGTTTCAGATAGGCTAATTAATTAACCAACAAGGGCAGGCAAAAGAATCTCTAGTGTGCATGTCATGTGTTTGTTGTTACTGATGGATAATAAACTAGCCTAATAGTTTGTCTAGGTTTAAGCTTATAATAAACTAGTCTAGGTTTAAGCTTCCATACACTATTTACCCAACTATTTAACTCATTTTTATTCTATGATTTTAGTTAATAAATTACTATCAATTATTATCCAACCATACTGAATATGTATATGCTAATTATAAGTTTGTCTATAGTTATCTTTAGAGGAAAATCAGGAAATTGCTCAAACTAAGACTAAAACATAGCATTTTTAAAAAAATAGGACCATATGGTTGGGTTTCCCTAAATAGGATTAAACATGATCTGTTATTCCTAATTTAATTAATTAATTAATTAATTAATTAATTGTGCTCATAGTTCCCTTGCATAACCAATGTTAGTCCGTTGGTAGCCTAGCGGTCGTCCGGTGGCAGCGGCAGAATTCCGTAGATTGGCGGCGCCAAATTGGATAAAAAAATCCGGCCATTGACGTTCCAAAGATCGGCGGCGGCGGGCAGCGGTCGAACGACCTGAGGGCAACAATCCTCCAACCCTTCGAGGATATTTTTCTGATCACAAATAAAGAGTCCTATTTATGAAATTTTAAACTACTCGGTTCTATTTTAGGAAAATGTCAGTATTTTGATCATATTTGAATAAATCTCCCGTAATTTTAGTATTTTACCATCAAAGTACTACTACGTACGGAATATAACTTTGTAATAGAAATACATAGTATTAGTGCCCGTTTGGTAGCCCAGTTTTTCGACTTATCAGACTCATCAGTCAACTTTTTCACCAAATACGTAATTTATGATTTTGCGGGCTGAATTGCGTAATAATAAGAGAAAGTAAGGTTGAAGTTACTTTTCTAGTTGTATAACTGAAGTTACTGTAGAGGACTATTTTAGTTATTTTACTTATAATTTCTTCTTTATTTTAATAATAAAATACATTTTAAATATAATTTTTTAATAAATCAACAGAATTAGCCACTTCAGCCAGAATTTCATAATTTTCAGTAGAATCATCCAATTCAGCTGATTCGGTCGATTTTGATATTACCAAACGACTCTTATGTTTCTTCATAAATAGGAAGGATTACTGGTACAATTGAAAATTTAAGAATTATGATAGTATTAATGAAAATGATGCCTGATTACATAATTTGAGAATGAAAGTAACTTACTCATATTAATTAGGGGTAATGTAGTACTCATATTAATGAGTAAGTTACTATTATCATGAAATTATACTATCATCTTTTAACATTAGTTGTCATAAGTGTTACACTTATACTATCATAATTGTTAATTTTTATATGAATTAATTTCACTTTTGGTCCTACGAGTTACGTGCCAATTCCACTATTAGTCCACATCTTTCACTTTGTTCACTTTTGGTACTTGACTAATGTTTTTTAACCGTTTGTGTTCCTTTTCCGGCGATTTTAAGCATCGGAAACAATGCCGGAAGGATCATATATGGGCGAAAACCCAATAGTCATGTATCAAAAGCGGATAAAGTAAAAGATGTGGACTATATCTGGAATTGACCTAAAACTCACAAGACCAAAAGTGGAATTTATTCATTTTTATATCGTACCACTAAGTGTTAATTTCTTTTCATCATTTGCAATGAAACCAAAGATTCACTATTTTTTGGCTTGAGAATATGATGGAAGAAAGGAAAATGGTTCACTGAACTGTCCGCGCTTCTTTATTATGAAGCAGCAGTCGTTCCATACAATTTTCGGCGCGTTTTTCACTATGAGTAAGAATGTGTACATTCGACCCCTTATACTCCATCATAGGTGGGAGCCTTTGCGGCACTGAGGTAATGATGATGATTATGATCGGTAAGTGTTATATTATGAAAAAACATAATATTTCATATTTCTATTCTGAATAATGCATGAATCAGAGTCCTAATTTCTAAATATCGAAATCTTGAATTAGACTTTTCATAACTATGAGAAGTCTAAAAATGACATTATATATCTTTTAGAGAGCATTAAGTTAAAATCAAAATATAACATATGTGAATATTTTAATTTACGTTGCTGATATTATTTTGCAAAATAATCACATCAATTCCTAGACAATCGTGATCTTGAATTTTTTATGTTATAACTTGAAGTGTATTTCTGATTATTTTGAAAGAAGAGATTGGAAGAAAATCACACAAAATAGTATAATAAAAAAGAAAAAAATATACAAAAATGGTGTATGAGAGCATATTTGATTTTTTTTTGAGAATAAATCACCCCACTATATTAAAAGATCATTTGTTAAATGACATGGAAATAGTTGCTCTAGTGATGCAATGAGCTACCTGATTCACGGACCGCCTACCCTTGAACTCTTGCTACCACCAATTTGCATCAACTCAACCACCACCTTTTGCCAACCCATTTTAATTGCCCAAATAAATTAATGGTAAATAGTGAGATTATATGAATGTATTTATTTATAAGAGATAAAATGATTGTGTAACTTATCAAGTAATTTAATGCATAATGGAAGAGAAAATGATATTGGAATGAATTCCCCCTTTATGAAGATAATATAAGATTCTCTTTATGTGTATAAGATTCTCCCTTTATGTATATAAGATTATTTATGTTTATATAATTATTTTAAACTATAAAAATTAGGCATGAAAGTGTTTTAGGGAGTGTATTATAAACTACAATATTGTTTTAATTATATACAATGTGTTATTAAATTATTAAGGTCATTGAAATTTAAAGTTTTCAAGATTTGAAGTACATAAATTTTTATAAGCTACATAACTAACTCATTATTACGTTTTTAGCGACTAATTTGGCGAATGAACTTTAAATTGTCTTAAAAAGATCTGTCACTTTATTTTTGATTGTTCGGGTTTT